ATTCTGGGAGGGTCCCACAGCTAGTCAAGTTAACATGCTAACCTCCACAACGGTACCTGGAATTCAGGGAAGGTAGGTACCTGAAGAGACAATGTTTTTCTAATCATCCTTTCAGCTTAAATAATGATTTGTTTTCATATCATCACAGAAAGCTAATTATATACTTTATTTAAAACTTGCACAAGTTTCATTACAGAGAATTGTCTTGCACAGAGCTGGATTGTAACAGGTACCAGTTGTGGTTTATTCTAATACACTAACCACTTTTCAGTGACATAACCCTTTGACACAACGTTCTTCACTCTGGTCTCTAATTTAACTGGCAAGGAATAAAAACCATTCCGCAGGGACATTCTGTTCCATTTACTCTGCTTTAGTAATGCTGAAATGTTTTGAAACCAAAATGATTCAAAGTAAGACCTCATGTTAAAGCAATTAAATCAGTTTACTCTCCATGGAAAGCCATGCTTTAAAATCCCAGGTGGTTAGAAAGGGGCTCACAATCCAACATGAGCCAGAATTTCTAGGATTCTGTGACTTTGGCCTTGGTGTCGCAATATGTTTTATGTCAGTGGTTGCAATTTCCTAATTTCTGATTCTTGCAAAAATAGTATTTTCAATGTGCATGTAAGTAATTACTCACTAGGAATTCACAATCAACTTTAACCAAAAAAATTGGCAGAATAATCTATAAGACATGTTTTATTCTTATAAAACTTGGATACTTGTCAAACATTAGGTGTTTGCTATTTTTTTTTTCAAGCAGGCATAGGGAGATAACGGAATTTGACTATCTATAAAGTACAAATAACACATACAAATATATTATGACTCTTCCTAGTAAACCAGCAAGGATGTCTGTCTGTTAAAGAATTGTGAGACTATTTGTATATGCATATTCTGCCAAAGAAGGATACACCATGTGGAGGCAATCCATGGCCAGAAACAACATAGCAGTTGGGCATTATTAAGCACAGTGTTAGGAGTCTTAAGTCAATGCAACGTATTTTGGAGTTGATACAAGTATCCTGTCAAAATTAAAATAGTTATCACCAAAAACTTTATTTCTCTTATTATGTTCAGATCAAATTTCTGAGGAAAGGAATAAATACTTCCTATTTCTGAGAAACCCAAGGATTTTTCCAAACATTTAAAACTTAAATCGTCCTCTTTTCTCCCTCTTGTATCTTCTCTTCTTGTCAACACAGGTTTTTTTTCTCAGTTTGCACAGCTGTGGTTAAGCAGAGACCCATATGCCAGTGAAATCCCAGCTGTGGTTACTGGAACCAAGCTCACTATGGATGCACGAATCCTTGGTTCATTTCTTTCTCAGACAGCTTTAATCTGACATAGGCACAGTAAGAAAAAAATGGGTAAAAAGGAAAAGGAAGGTGAATATTCTCAACATTGAACTGTGAAAGTGAAGAAACTCTGGGGCAGACAGAGACCCTGATGGAGGCTGTCTCCTCACTGGAGAGCCAACCCTTGCGTGGAAGGAAGTGGAGATTTGCATTGAGTCGGCAAAGTTATCCCAAGTGTTACTGGTTTTTTCCTTTTCTTTTGTAAATAAAAAAAAAAATGAGCCTTCCCTCTACTTAACTTTTTGCTTTCTTCCGTACTTTGATACCCTTGAGCCCTTTAACTATATATTGATATGTCAACATCCTTATTTAGTGAAGTCACACTGCATTCTTAGGAAACAGATAAAAAAGCACACAAGAAGCACATTTAAAAAGGCCTGTACCATACACTAAATCTCACAAACAAAAGCCTCTCTGATTTGTTGGGAGAGTTTGGAATGACATTGCCTTATAGCTAACATTCAATGCAGCATAATCAGATTTTCCTCATTTATTTCCAACAATCTTCAAGTCACAGAAAATGTGCAAGTTGTCCATAATTTTCAGGTGTATAATTTTTCCCTTTAATATCAAATATACTGTTGGATTCTGAACATTCTTTTGTAGTTCAGATTCCAATGACTGAAAATATTGCTTGGATTTTCTTTAAGAATAACCAAGATACATTTTCCAATATAGGAGAAAGCCAAGTCAAAATAATGGAGCTCCAAAATGTAGAGGAGGTAAGGATGGTGAGCAGCTTTTTCCTTTCCTCCTTAAGATATACTTTAAGGTCATGCCTTAAGATATACTGTTTAAGATATACTGTTAAGGTATACTTTAAGGTTATGCCTTCAGATATACTGTTAGGGACATGAACTCTGTAAAGTAAAAACTCTGTAAAGTAAAAAGCAATTATCATGAAATTATATGTCATTATAGCTCTTGGGCTGCTGAATGCTGAACCTACAACTTACTGGAAATTGTTCAAAAAATATAAGACACTGATGCAGACTCAGAAGACTTTCCAATTAACCCAGAGGAGGCAAAAGAAAAAAATCAAGGAATAACTAAAGTTGGCCTCAGCAGGGACCATCAGGGAAAGTAGAACATTTCAAATGGTTTTATTAGGAAGAAAAATCCTTCTTAGAGTAGACAGGACTTCTAACTTGTCTTGAAGAGACTGATGAATAGAGAGTAGAAGATGGTTTCAAGTTGGGTGACTTCTCAAAGTCTCTAGAACCTTTGACAAATTGTGACCCCCAAAGACAGCAATGGGGAGACTGACTAGGGATTTCAATAGTTTAAATCATGGCTGTTGGACAACACAAAAAGGAGTTAATCATATTGTGGAGAGGCCTGAGGTATTTGCTGGTGATAGGGAAGGGAGTAGAGTGTGACCTAGGAACCATTAGAGTGTCTCATGTACATTCCTCCAGTTCTGGATTCTCAGCTGCCCAAGTCTTTCACTGGCCTTGCTTTCAGTAGCTAACCAGGAAAAGGACTTCCTAGTACATTAGCCTGTATTGTTATAGCTAAAGCTGAATTGCTTTTGACACTCTCTTGCTCTCTCAAGATGAAAATGTCCCTTTATGGATTGTTTCATTACAGTGAGGAAAAACATCACAGAGCTCTCGTCTGCCAGCTGCTTACAGTGCAAGCAGACAAATTTGTCTTTCTGGAAGTGGCAAGAAAGCTGTGATTGCTTTTAAACCACTGTTTCCACTTGTGCTGATATTGTCATTCTCAGTCAAAGAGGATCTTGCTGTTTTTGTGGAAGGCCAACTCCAGCAATGCTCAGATCGCCAGCCAAAGCAAGGGACCAGGACCCTTCCAGTGAGAAATTAGGTACAGTTACAGGCTGCTTCCTAATGAGGTTGTACCACCCAACAGAACATCTCTAGTGGAGATTTTCTACTGTCTGCAGCCAAGTGGAGAAACATTTTCCCCCTGTTATATTCTGCAATATTCCATGAAAACTTGAAGCAGAGTACAAGTCAGATGAGACATGTATGAGATTGTAAGATGGAAAAGAAGATTCATCTTGTCACGCTTATCTGATCTTGCCCTTAGATGATCTGAATTAATTCATCCATTTACGTATATTTAAAACAGCTTACTTGGAATGCTCCCTCTCTCTCTCTCTCTCTCTCTCTCTCTCTCTCTCTCTCTCTCTCTCCCCCCCGCACCCCCTCAATGCCATTACACTTTCCCCCCCAAAGTCTTATACTGTGGTTTCTTCCAGGTGGTTAAATTGAGTTTAATTCCTCAAGGTCTTTGGTCACAGGTTTGATGTTTTCTTTTAGCCAGTTCTGGAAGGCTTATCTTTTTGTCTTGAAACACATTCTAACCTCTACAAAGTCAATATAATGAAACTGCAGGTTGCGTTCTGCAGTGTGCCACACCTGGCAGGATGAAGGATTTCATCTCTGAGTCAGGAACCATGCATTCAGCTTCCCACAAACCTCCCTGCCTTCCTTGGCAGACTGTTTCCTTCCAGAGTGAAAGGTCTTGAGGTCTGTGACACTTCTCTCTTGATCAGCAATAAAGGTGATGTTATGACAAGAAAGATGTGTAGAGGAACCAAAAAATTTCCAGAGGCTCACAGGGGACAAGGAAAAGTTTTATTTGGTGAGTCATCTGTGAATCCCATCGTGACTTCGAGGCTGAAGTCTTCAGAATAATCCTAAGAGGATCCAGTTAAGATTCCAAGAAAGAAAGTCTGTGTGTCACAGTGGTGACTGCTACAATGTGAAGAGTGATCCTGGGAACTCAGTGACCTGACTACCTCTCCCTTCCCCCACTTCCCAGCAGAGAAGGAAAGAGAGGCAGAGGAATCTGGGTGCAGCCTCAGCCTTCAATCGCAGGGGCAGTTCTGGGCTTGACAACAGATCCTGGGAATAGCATTGGTCACCCTTAAACTACTAAACTGGAAGGTTGCAAAAGCGAGGTGGATCTGCTCCTGCGAAGTTTTTCAGTTTTTCCGGCGTAAGCTGCCAAACTGATTCAAATCCCTGAATCAAACTTTCAGATCAATCCTGTGAACCCAGGTCTGGCTGGGAGCCTCCAGGGCCTCTTTTCTCTGCACTCACCTCGCCTGCCCAGCCCAAGGAGGCCAAAACTTCCAATTCCATAATGCAGCTACTACCTCAAGTGAGGTATCACTTTCCAGGTAATTTGTTGGGGGATTTTTTGAAACGCCCCCAATTCTTCCTTTAAACCACTTTGAAATACACACACTTGCCAAACTTTAAGAGTACGATTTTCAGTAAGCAGACTTGATTTCCAAGCCTGTTCCTGCCACCGCTGACTTGAGTTGGAGGAAAAGTCCTTTCCAGGCTATTTGCTGGACTTGGGAAGCTGGCTGGAACCCAGAGTTCTTGAGCAATGTGAGAGCCGGCCAGGAGAGGAGTCTGGGTTTCCCTCATTGCTGAGGAGCACACATTACACTTCTTGAATCATCGTGATGACCACAGCAACCTAAAGTCTCCAGATTCTCTCCCCAGCCTGGCCGGTTGTAGTGCTTCTCCCTAGATGCTGGCAGGGCCCCTCCCAGACTCTATCTTCATCCTGGCCGCTAGGGCAAGGTTCCCTAGGTTCGGAAGCGGTCTCTGCACTCGGGGCGGGGCCACGCGCGTTCCTCCCCACTCCACCTCGGCGGACCCCCAGCCCGCACCCCCTCTCCCTAAATCTAGGGACTTCCCCAAGCACCGCAAGCTGCGGTTTCCTGCCAGGACTCTAGAGCGAAGATAAAAAGAGCGCGGAAGGCTGGACACCCACAGTGCCTCACAGTGCCTCCACCCGCGCCTCATCCACCTCGCTCCGCTCCAAGTCCAAAATGTACCCTGTGCCTGGCCGCGCCTCCCGCACCCCGCGCCTGCTGTGTGCACTATTGGCGCTGCTGCTGCTGCCGCCGCCAGAGTCGCGGGTGCACGGTGAGGACACGGGGATGCCAAGAATGAGGGAGACCCCTGAGGGGAAGGGGCTCCCCATCCTCTGCCTCCTGCCCCCAGACCCTCCTGTAATGGCTGCGTCTCTCCCGCAGCTGGTCCTGTCGCAGCGGCGAGAGAGCTCCGCTGTGTCTGTGTGACCATCACGCCGGGCGTCCACCCCAAAATGATCGCCAGCCTGCAAGTGACTGTCTCAGGTCCGCAGTGTCCCAACGTGGAAGTGGTGTAAGTGCATACCTAGGGGACCTGTGCGGTTAGGAGAGGGAGTGATGGATGCTTCCAGCCTGACTGCGCTGGAATCCGCCTCACCGGGCACCCTTTTCTCTCCGCAGAGCCACCTTGAAGAATGGGAAGCAGATCTGTCTAGACCCAGAAGCCCCGTTGATCAAGAGAGTCATTCAGAAAATGCTGGACAGGTACTTGGCCCTGTGATCTTCCTCAGGAGCAGAGAGTGCATGGAGCTCTTCCTCTGGGGCTTGGGTACTACACTGCAGTCCTGGTTAAGCATGCAGAGGTTGCCAGGGAGAAGGGGTGGTGGACGTGGCGTGTCCTGGGGCAACCTTTGCTCCTGGTGCCAGCGCAGGAGCGCAGAGTGTGTCATGGTCACAGGTGCATTTTTGTCTGAGGTTTCTTTACTGTTTGTTGTTGCCCATACCAAAAATTTGGCTAAATTGACCAAATCCTTTTCTCAACAGTGGAAACAAGCAAAACTGATCCAGAGGAAGGACCGTGCATTGGAAAGACCATGCAGTCTTCAAAAGGGAGCCGGGAGGGCTCTGTTTCTGCAGAGGCTCTGATCCGAGAAAGACAAGAAACAAGGGTTGATTTTTAAAAATATTTTTCCAGTATTTTTCTGTGCATTGCCTGCTCTGAGAAGACGGGGAAATGTTGTTTGCCCTCAAGCTTAAGTGCTTAATATAGTATTTCCTGCTGCTGTTACCTGGTAAACTGTATTTTAAATGAGGAATTATTGGTTGTTAATATTTCTAGGACATATTATTCTGTGTAGTGTTAGTGAAAGGCCCAGGGTTTAATAGATGAATTATGTTTTATTGCAGTATTGCTGAGGGAGAGACACTGTATAGTCATTCTTCTCATGAAGTAGAAAATATTTTAGTGTTGTTTCTGGGATAATATGTTACAGAATTCTTTACTCCTGACCTGCTTTAAGTAATTGTATGTGTATTTGAAAGCTGGGTATGTCATACAGTAACCTATGTAGAATATATTTCCTTATTTAGAATTTCTAAATATTTAAGTTCTGTAAGGAATAATATATTCTCTTCCTCTACTTTTAGACATTTCATGTCTTCTTAGTATGGCATAATGTCATGATACTCTTTAAATTTTGATTATATATGCTATTTATTGATTATTTTATTAGGTATATTATAATTTAGATCACAGAATATATGTTTTGGATGGATGAAGAAGATAAAAGGTATATTCCAACTTCTAGTTGATATAGAAATGCATTTGTTCTTTAAAAAATAAATTTAACAATGATCAGTACTCTGAAAGTTTAGAAAACACATCTGATATATGGTGTTATAAATTCATCATTTAATCTTTCAAAAGTACACAGCATTGCTAAGACTTTTAGGTATCTGTAACATAACTTGAAGGTTTTGACTATTTTGCTATAGGTTAAATCATATATGTATCACATCCACCATATTATAATGGCACTTTAAAAAATATGTGTTGAATTGGCTTGTAATACCTATTATGTTTTTGAAGAAAAAAATAAAAGATTTGTGAACTGCACTCACGTTGTTTCATCTTTCTGGTACTATAGGAATGAATTTTATTTATAGTTACCTTACTATAGTTACATCACTTTAAACCCTTCACTATTTCCTCTGCTTGTAGAGGGCACCTTTCCCCACGCCACTGAGCCCCTCAGCCTTGCTCCATGCACCTCCCCTTCCAGTTCCCTCCACAGCTTCATGGAGTCTTCAGGAAACACCAAGAAGACTCCCTGTCTGCAGTGCTCCCTATGACGAATGTGGAATGGGCCTAGAGGCCATGTTGTTCAAAGCTGAGTCTCCAGCCTGGTCTACTGGGAGATGGTGAACTCCTGGAAGTGGGGCCTGGGGAGAGGTCACAGGCTGTCAGAGTCAGGTCTTGAAAGAGGATCTTGAGACCCCTGGCCCTGGCCTTCTCTTCTTTTTCCTCTTCCTTCCTCTTGGCTTCCTTTACCCCGTGCTCCTGCATAGTATGTATTGTACCCAAACTGACAGGGCCCACTGATCCCAGACTAACCAAATCTCTCAGCCAAAATAAACCCCACCTTTTTCTCAAGCTGATCATCTCCAGTCTGTCTTAGGAGTGCAGGATGAAATAGGAGTGCAGTCCTATTTTGTAAGCATGGAGGGTGAAGCTGTACCTCAGCTCGCTGCTGACCCCTTCACGTGTGTCTGTCTCACGCTCCTGTAGCGGGGTGTTCATTCCCAGTTGGGCATATCCTAGGCCCGGGCTTCTGCATTTGCTGTAGCTGTATGTGGAAGGAAGTGGCCCCATTTCTGTGTATAGGAAGAAAATGACTCAACCTTTAGAACTTGCCTCAGAGATGCCTCTTCCTGGAGGTGCCTGAGCACTCGGGTCAGAAAGCCTGCTTCCCATGCTGGTGTCTCCACAGCATCTCTCATAGACCCAGATTATAGCCCACGCTCATTGCTGTCACTAGGTTCTAGGTTTCTCTACCCCAGGGTAGTAAGAACTCTCCCAGAGCATCAACCCTATTTCCAACTGCACATCTCCAATGTGTGGCACAGGCTGACTGCGAGAGTTCATGAGTTATTCTGACCCAAACTGGGACATGGCTTCTTAAATTCCACGACCTGCCTCCTTCCTCTTGTAATCCAACGATGACTGACACATGCAACCTCCCCATCAGTAACAGCTACCCACATTTCCACCAGGCTGACTTTCATCCTTCCTCTCTCATCCCAAAGACAGCCTGCCAGGCTCTTCTTTACAGATTACAGCTCATCTTTCACCCTTTAACAACACTGTATTTTTCCTTTCTAAAATTGAGCCCCTCAGCCTTGCTCCATGTCAGGGTGACTTGCTCCATCCTTGTCAGGGTGACTATAGAGCTTATAGTCTGTTTACTATGATCAGTTGTTTGATGTCAATTTATTCCATCTCCACTGTAATCTGCATGCAGAGACAATACTTATCATGTTCATCTCAGTTGCTAAGACAGTTCCTACTGTACAGGAGTGTCTTGGTTATTTTTCTCTCATTGCTGAGACAAGTACCTGACACCCAAAATTTGGGAAGAAAAAGTTTATTTAGCTTACAGTTTTTGGAGGTTTCAGTCCATAATCAGCTGGCTCCAAGGCAGGGTGGCATGGCACCAGGGCAACATTTCAGCATGTAGCAGCATGTAAAACCAGCCAGGGAAAAAAGGGAAGAACAAGTCTCTTCTCCCTTGTATTGTACATGGGCCACCCCCTCCTCCAGGGCACATGAACCACTCATCAAGTGTCTGTGCCCTCCTTATGAGAGTATTTACAAAGTAAGGATCCTGACTCCCTGCTGAGTGTCTCAGTTAAACTTTTAAACTCTCTCACATTGACACAATTTATCAACCATAATAATTCACCCCAGGTCAATTTGGCAACCAGACACATTTCTTTAAATCAGCTTCCAGATTCAAAGTCATGCTTATTCTTAACATTTTGCAAGTTGAACATCATAACATAGTTTAACAATCCTTAAGAACCAGCATTAACTCTAGCAATATTATATTAAATTCGAAACATAACATTTTGTCCTTGGATGCCTGAAGACTCATGTACACCCATCCAAAAGGCATTTAATTCATCTGCAAGAGTCCTAACAGTTTCAGCACTGCTGGAAAGTTTAAGTCCCAAGTCTCCTCTGGGGGCTCTCCACTGCATCTTGGACCTCACACTCTCAGCTTCACACACTGCCCTCTCAGGGGCACACTGCCTGTCCTCCCAGGCCTTAGGAAATCAGGCTGGAAGCCTCTTAACCTCAGAATTTGTGCATCCTGTATGCACCTAAAACCAGTGCCATGTGGATGCTGTTGAGGTCTGCTGCCAGTTAGAGCAGAACCCAGGCTTTCTTCTCTCTAGGATGTAGGGGTCGAATGCCTGGGTCACTGGGCACTGTGAACCTGATTGTGAGGAACAGATTCTCTACACTGCCACCATTTGGGAACCTGGTGTGGCCACTGCCACCATCATGGAACATGGCACTCTGCAGCTTTCCTCTCAAAGCAGTCTCCCTTTTGCAAGTTTGAGATACAAAGGTCTGAGACTTGTTGCATTTGTGATGCCTTCAGGATTTTTTTTTCTTTTTTCTTTTTTGTTTTCCTGTTCCTTTTTAGCAATTAAGATTTCCTCCACTCTGTTTTTGCAGTATATAGCTTTATTGAGGCTTGTTCTCTAGCCAAGATCACAATATTGTAAATCATCCTGCTAGGCTATTTGCTTTTGATTTGCTACATAAATCCAGCTAAAAAAGCCCCAACAATAGCCATGCCAGTCTCAACTTCTTTGAAATTTCTTCTGCCAGGTTAGTTAGCCAACAGCCCTTAATTTTAGTCTTAGGCAGTCTCTGGACCTGAGTAAAATACTGATAAACTTTCTGCCAAACCATAATTCACATCATCTGGACTCTAACAACCACTGCAGCCCTTCTTCCCAGCAGAAAGCTCCTGAGCTTGGACTTTACCAGCAGGATTTCTATCAGTCATCTGGTTTTCTGAGTTCTGACCAGGATCTCCCACAGAGAACAGCCTAAGCTGTTACAAGGCAACTCTTTCAGGCAATATCTCTGAAGCTTTTCAAACTCTTACCACAAGCCATTCCCAAAGGCTCTTGAACCACATAGGTATAGTCATAGGTATAGTCACAGCAATGGCCCCATGCTCAGTACCAAATTCTGTCTTGGTTACTTTTCTCTCATTGCTGAGACAAACACCTGACACCCAAAATTTGGGAAGGAAAGATTAATTTAGCTTACAGATTTTAGAAATTTCAGTCCATAATCAGCTGGCTCCAAGGCATGGTGGCATGCACCAAGGCAACATTCCAAGGAAGCAGACAGCAAAAGCAGCCAGGGCAAAAAGGGAAGAACAGGTCTCTTCTCCTCCCTTATATTGTACACAGGCCACTCCGTCCTCCAGGGCAGGTGTAGCACTCGCAAAGTTTCTCTACCCTCCTTTTGCACAGGATGAGGATATTTACAAAGTAAGGATCCTGGCTTCCTGCTGAGTGTCTCAGTTAAACTTCTAAACTTCTCAAGGTGACACATGTATCAACTGTATCAAGGAGGCATTTAAATTTGAGTGACCTAGGAGAAACAAGCCCCAAGTCTCTCTGGTATGCAGATAGCATTTCAAAAAATAGCCTATTTTTAGAGAAAGAAATGAAGAAGTCTAACATAACTAGTGTATGTATTTGCATATGCTAGCATGCTAACATATTATCGATATATCTATATCTAATCTAGATTTTTCTGTATCTTATAATCTCTCTCATACATAAAGTATCAATTAGGTTGATATATTTTCTATTATTATGTGTTGATATGTATCTCTATGACAGAAAAAGACAAAGAGATACAAATATATGAGAAAAATTAGAATAGTGTCAAGGATATGGGTTCACTGATGTGTTTGTCAGCCATATGGAAAAGTTCAAAATATCTCTAAATGTTTAGAACACTTTAAGCATGTGTGACCTCTCTTCACTGTCTCAAAAAGTACCCTTTTTGAAACTATGAACTATAGGAAGTACTAAAAAGCAAACAACTACCATAAATATGCACACTAAATTTCACTGTTTTAAATGATTGCTCATGTGTTATATCAGCTCCAAAATACTTACTGAGTAGTTCCTGATGATACTGATATGGGAAATCATATTAAATGCCATTTAGATTACAAAGTAAAACTTTTGTGAGCAAATAAACACAACTGCTTATTTCTTACTTTATCATCATTTAAGATCTTTGTTTTTTCTGAAGACCTAGAAGTCTAGTTTGTTTATAGGCCATAGAATGAGACCTTCTCTTGCAGTTCTACTAGCCATGACCATTGTATAATTGGTCACTCTATAAAGAAAAAAAAAATACATGACACTGTATTTCCAAAGTCCAACCTATTTGGGAAATTCAGCGGCAGTCACTGGTCATCACTTCCACTGTCACTATTGACCTTTCCACTAACAAATGCAAGGTTGGATGAATCTGGGGCGTTTACCTAATGTGTTACTCTAGACAAATTTCTAACAGTTTGCTCAAACTAATTTGTATCATTTCACTCTCTTATCCACCTGAAATTCCCTCTCATACATGAAATCATTTGGAATTAAACAAATGGTCCCAGCTAACACCCACTTCATGTATTTAGTAAAATGCAGACAATTTCCACTGTCTGATGGCCTTCGTTCATTGTACCAGACTTTCCTGCTTGCTTTTGGGTGTGGCACACTCACTAATCATCCAGTTCCTGAAAGTATGACAATATCTACAGCCAAATATGACCAGTAGCTTTCTTTCTCTGTCATAGATTTAATCCTTAAATAAGGAAAAGAACTACTGATGAACCTGATACAGGAAATCATATTAAATGCCATTTAGATTACAAAGTAAAACTTTTGTGAGCAAATAAACACAACTGCTTACTTCTTGCTCTCTCTTACTCTCTTGTATATGTAACTTCCAGAGTCCTTCCTGGTTGCCACAAAGTGAGAAACTTACCAGACAGCTCAGGCACCTGGGAATTCTCCTTACCTCCATGATTAAACGGAAGAGGAAGAGAGTGCACTATAATTCTATTCTATGATTCTGACTGAGAGCCCAAGTTTACAAAATCAATATTTTTCAAGAAACAGTGTTCATACTTCAAATATGAAGAAAGAAATAATGACACTGGAAGACCTATCGTTTAGGTCTAAGATTTTTTTCTGCAGACTCTAGAGCCCAATTTCTTAAATGTAGAGAAATGTTACCCCAGTCTTGCCTATGGAAAACACCTTTGATGGATGTGTCCACATGGCCATGTAAATCTATGATATTTGTTTCTGATCGACTGTCATATCTGGACAAAGAGAAACAGGATTGATTTCCAGGAAGAGACCAGTCATTCTTGGACTTTGGTGTGCAGTACAGAGTCAGACCCATTGCTTTTCATATCATATCCAGTGCTGGGTATTTTTAGCTATGAGACCTTAGCAATTTATTTTCCATCTTCTTCCCTCAACCTCTCATGTAAGCCCAGTAGAGTAATAATCATCTCAGGGCACTAAGAGCTGACCTGGAACACATATGAACAGATATGAAAGATGCCCCATATCTACTGTCCTAAGTAGATCTCCTTTCCTAAGTCTTTAATTCAAATCCCTCTCTCAGTCAGAAAATTGAGACTTTGATACTTTCAACCTCCATAGTCTTTTTTAAATTCTGTTCATATTTTCTATACCTAAGTCTGAGTAATTTTTAGTACTTCCAAAAGTTTATTTCAGATTCTTATTTAAGAAGTTTCTGGAAACTGTAGAGTCTGTCAAAAAATGCATACAGACCTCAGTAGTTCACTGCACTAATAAATGTCTGGAATCTAATGGGTATTACTTTGAGAACCTCTTGTGATTGTAGAGGCCACAGGGAACTTATATTAATCTCATGATGCCTCAGTAAATTTAGTATTAAAATATTTATGTAAATTTTTCTTTTCCTGATAAACACACTTTTTGATGAACTCTGTATATATTTCCTATATATTTTTATCAAAATGCATGATTATCTTTTCTATAAACATTCATTGATTAAATATCTACTTATTGACATTTACTGAGAATTTTGTACTGGCCCGGTGCGGGACCCTTATGATGTGGGGATTATGATGATAAGAGTTTTCATCCTGAGTGAAGGTCTTTTCATGGCAAATGACCTCAGCTGTCCATAAGACAAAGATTGTCCCAGAAGTAGAGAGGAAGGGAAGAGGGGAAACAGGAAGGAAAAGGGAAGACTGAAGAGGAGAAGGGAGGTTGGAGGGATGACAAGGACCATGTCTTTTCTTCCTTTCTGTTCTCCGCTCTTCTTTCATCCTCAGCTCTCAGTTTACTGCTGAGACACCACTTAGAGGAGGAGGTCACAGGGCCACCTTGTAGCCCACAGCAGGCGTCCCACTGGGAAAGAGACCTTAGAGTCCTTTGAGGCTAACTTGGTCCCCCAAAAGTGAGCACAGGGCAGAGGAAGAGCAGATCATCAGAAATAATTAACTCCTGTTTTAAGCCCCCAAGTTTGGGGTTGACTTGCTACACTTTGAAAGAAGACTGCAGTTTAATTGGTCACAAGTTCACAAGTAACACTGCATCAGTTCAGCACACATTTCAAATATAAATCCTGGGGTCTGCAAACTCCCAGAACTCCCATGTTAGTTACAGCACCTGAGAGGCTGTTTTCATCCCTCAGTGTCTACACAACTCAGCAAAACCTCAGCCTGACTCCCAGTTCTAGAGACTGGACAGCTGTTGTCACCTGAGCTATACAGAAAACATTTGGGTTTAGCACTTAGAAAATTTTGTTGCCTACTGTTTTAATTTTTTGCTTAAAAAAACTTTAAGGAACTTTAACTGAACAAAATGCTGTTAAGCCTAGGAATTTTGTACCAGCGGTACTTATGGCTGTTTGCACATGAGAACTTACTTCTTTTACACTTGGGAGAAGGGTTTGAAAGGCATCACTTCAAACTATTTGGTGAAAAATAAGATTAACATACGTCTTCATTGTTATGGTCTCCAATGTCTCTAAATATTTTATTTAAAATAACTAACAGATAAGTTCTAATTTAGGTTTTAGAAAACTTGCTTGTTTCCTCAGTGACTCTGCTATTTATAAGGTAAATTAAAGAAAAAAGATAAAATAACTTACCACAAAATTTGTTTTAAATGCCAACAGCAGGATGACAATGAAGATTCACTAAAAGGCTTGCCAAGCTATTTAAAGACTCCTGACACTCCTATCATGGTCATAATTTTGCATAAAGTAGCTGTTTTTAAATAGAATAACTGATTTTAAAATCTTTTGCCCATTTTCATACAGTTTACCACCATTTGTACCATGATTCTAGTCATGGAGCTGAAAAGAAAATATACAAATATGAGAAACAGCAATTAACAGCAGCAATTAACACAGTGATTATGGTAGTAGCAGTCTAAAGAGTTATTTATATTCTCTTGTTTGGGGTAATTCCTGAAGGTCTTGCTTTTAAACAAGTAGTTGAGTAAATCATATGAGAAATTTATGATTTGTAGCGCACAATGGATGCTTAATCTATATTCCTCAAATAAATACATACTAGCAAAATGTTCTTTTATTTCAGATGCTGACTAATAGACTTGTGAAATTTCAATAACAAGAAATTCATTATTACTTCCTCATGAGAATTGCTGATGATGTGTTTTTTGTGACAAGACACTTTTTGAGTAACATTGACTTAATACAGTTGGGCTACACGCCTACCTCTTTCCTGGTACCAATGAACTCAAATATTAGCTCAAAGAGATTCTATACAATTGTCTTTCCAAGTGTAGTAACTAAGGAAGAGGTTTGAATAGTATTGACTATGGAGAAAGAAATGTACAGTGGAGTCAAAAATATCATCAACAATTTGTTTTGGAGAGCTGTAGTGGATAAAAAAGAAAAATATGATTAATAACTTTATAACCTGTGTAATTCACTCACATTTCTAAAAGATACTTGTGAGCTATATAGAATGATTTCATTTGTGTAAAAAAACCTATCTCCATGCACACAAGAGTATATCTCTGTATATACGTGTCTCTGTACATGTCTCTCTGTCAGTGTCACATGAATGCATGTAAATGCAGATAGAATAGAAGACAAATACTAATTGCAGCTAGTGGGTACATTTGAAGGACAGTGGTGTGAAGTAAATTTGGAAAGCAGTGCACACATTTGATCCCCCATGTACCTGTTGTTTACGAATCTTGTACAGCAGATTATATCATCTATCTTTGTTAGATTAAAAGCACAATAAAAACATTGGGTCTTGCTGTTTGGGTACAATGAGGTGTTTGAAACAAACACTGTGTATAACACAAAGGAAGATGAGTTTGTTTCTGATTACCGGATGAAATAAGAGACAAATCATTTGGAAGACGGATGCCCCTAAGGTAATAACCAAAGTGAATGTTTGACAGTAAACTGGTCAGAGTTTATGGATTTATGCCCAACAGATCTGACATTCATCACAACCAGGGCAGGATGTTTGCTGTCTCTGCCATTTGGAAAGGAATGGTAACTCTTTTTATCAAGAGTCACATGTGTATGTCTGCAGGTGCTCATAACTTTCTACTAAGCCTAGGAATGCATAATAGGAAAGGCATGGCATATTGTTACCTGGCAGCACAATAAAGAAAATACACGTAGCTTTTCAGTCTAACATCCCTAAGCAGGGTGCTTTCCCATGGGTAAGGGAGATGGTTGAGAAAGGGAGACTAGGAAAGGGAAATGATACACAAAATGTATCTAATTTAGCAGGAACTCCCACTCACACGGCATTTATCTGGGTTGGGCACAACTTGACCATGCTTGTGTGGGAATATCACCACATACCCTAGCTTCCCCCCACCCTCCACCTCTTCCGCTTCACTGGCCACAGTAAGATCAAAGCCGTCCGAGAGGCATAAAAAGCTGCTTGCACCGGACCTCAAGCAGCATTCACCCTGTGGTTGAGGAGCCCTGGCTCAGAAACAGCTCCAGCTCAGCCTTCTCCAACGTGTATCTCAGAATGAAGGCGACCTCCTCCTGCCCCAGTGCCAGGCTGCACCGTGTCCTGGGGGAACTGATGCTGCTGTCACTGCTCCTGGCTGCACTAGTTCCCTCTACCAATGGACAACGTAAGAGAAATTTAGGGGAAAACAAGGCTAGAGGCTTTGCTTCCCTGCAGTTGTGCGGGTTTTGGTGAGGACCTCCTAGTCCTGGTGAACACTGTTACTGTGCTAACTCTAAGGGGTGGTCACATGTGTGCTGGGCACTTGACGTGCATGTGCTGGGCCATCTGCTCAGCATGATACTAAAGATTTACAGATCATATTAACAAGCGCCTTGTGGGGGAGATACAATTACCTTCCACTTACACATTTTTAAAACCGAGGTAAAGAAACATAACCCTGCTAACACAATCATATGTTCTGCTGTAGCTAAAATCATAGAAGAGTTAGCTGAACTGCGATGCCTGTGTCTGAAGACGATCTCTGCAATGCACCCCAGCAAGATCTCCAGTGTGGAGGTGCTCAAGGCAGGAGCCCACTGCCCCAAAATCCAAGTCATGTAAGTCCCTGCCTCTGTGTTCCTCAAGAAGCCCTCCACCTCTGCCCCATCTGACATCTTCTCCAGGCTCCTGAGTGTGATCTGCGCCCCAGGCTAGGGTCCTCACAGATGATTCTGTCCTCTCTCCCAGAGCCAAGTTGAAAGATGGGAAGAAAGTCTGCCTGGATCCAGACCTTCCAGGAGTCAAGAAAATGATCCAGAAAATATTGGCAGGTCAGGGATCAACTAGTTAATCTGCTTACTTCCTGCCAAAAATTTTCAACCTGCCTGGAAGGGCAGAATTTGGAAACCTTAACTTTCTATAGTTTCTCTTTATCCAGAAGGCCCATTCTTATTGTATGAAAATTAGTATAAGCTATTTTGTTTCAAAAATCACATTATATTCTGAGAAGGCTGGTTGAGATATGAAAGAAGATGGAAATAAGCAAGTTTAGTAATAAATAACACATAATTTATGTTTTATTTTCTAATTCCTCACTTAACCCTGTGCTGTGCTTTACATTCCATTTGTTTGTTTTAAGGCAGAGTCTTGCTATGTGGTTCAGGCTGGCCTTGAGTGTTCTATGTAACCTAGCCTGGATGTAAGCTTGTAGCAATCCTCCTGCCTCAGCTTCTTGAGTGCTGGGATTAGAGGTGTGCACCAACATGCCTCATGAATTTCTTTCCCTGAACATTTATTTTCAAACCCATTTGTGTTCATTTTCCTTTCTCAGATGTTAGGTTAGATGTGCTCATGATGACTAATGGATGTGACAATGGCCAGTGATATCAAGGACCCCAAAGAGCCAAGCATAAAATGCTTCTCAATAATTTTTTATATATAGGTATTAAGTTTTCAGTGTCTTAGCTTTAAAGTATCTGATTTCAAACTTTCCTCTGAAAAGTTTTTCTAATGTTTATGTCGTACTTCAAACCCTAAAACTAATAGTCTTAGGATATAAATCTAATAATTGTAGGATGTAAGTCTTATAAGTTGTGGTGACTTAAAGTGAGTGTACTTTATGCTAGGAGAGCAAAAAGTACATGATGAAAAAGCACTAATATATTCTACAAAGAAACTCTAGAACTTTCTGCAGTGGCAACAAAGAAAAATGACTGATTTTATTTTTCTTTTTGAGACTGTTTTGCTCTGCAGTTCAGGCTGGCCTGGAACTCACTTTGTAGTGCAGGCAGGCTTTGAACCCACAACAATTCTCCTGCCTCAGCCTCCTGAATTCTGGAAATACAAGTGTGCACCACTATGCTTAGCGTGACTCATTTTATTTGATGTTAAGTGTTTTACTCTTGCATGCTTGTATATATTTTATCTAATTAATATCTGCACAATTATAATTTAAGTATTAGAACTGAACTTGCAAATAAGTACAACAGGGAAACATTGTAAGACTACAAATTATTTTTTAATGTACTGAACCTTCATTTATTTTTAACCCCTAAAATTAATGATTTTATTATTCTTATAAAATATTAATATCAAATTTTGCTATTGATACATTACCAATTGAAACAGAATTTGGGGAAAGTTTTAACTTCATTTTATTGTTGTGATTTGCTTTTTTATGTTTTGGTATTTCACTAATAAAAGTCACCAAGTTGATGCTGTATACCATTTTTAATGCAGTATACTAGACAAAAATTATGAGTCACTTTTAAAATGCCATAGAAAATTCAGCATTTTACATGCATACATTGAATAGGTCTCTTACAAGATAGTTATCAGCTGAGTAAAAGCCTGTCCTCTAGAGCCAGAATAAATAGGCTACTTGTCTCAACTAGTTGGTAGCTGTTTAACTTTGGCCAGGTTGCATAAACTCTCTGCAGTTTAGCTTCTGCATCTCTAAAATGGGGATCGTCTATCACTCATTTTGAGGTAGACATGAGGATTAAAGCAATTAGCAAATTCAAAGTTTGAAATAATGCATATCACAAAATTACTCATATATAAATGCCAGCAATTGTGTATATATGTGGACCTGGGTTTTATCACTACCACCTCAAGAAAAAAAGTAATAAAGAAAGGAAAAAAGGGAAGGGGGAAGGGAGAAAGAAGAAAAGAAAGGATGGGAGAAGAAGAGGAGGAGGAAGAGGGAGAAAATTGCCTCAAGATCAGACCCCAGGGTATCAGGGATTTGAAGTTGTGTTCTTAACCACTACATACCCTCTTGCCTTGGTTCTTCCATATGTAGTGAAATTACATTACACAGTGTTACTATCACATGAAATAGCAGTGCAGAAAAACGTACATACATAGCATAGTAATTAGACGATACTGGGACCATAATGGGAGCTGAAACAACTCAAACAAACAAGTCTACATATCACGTGGCCTGTCTTCTATGAGAAACTCAAAATATGAATAAAAAGCAAAGTAAAAGGCAGATAATAAGAAATAGGAGCAGAGATCTTTTGCAAATAGAGGAGGGGACCAAGAGATGGAGGGAAGGGGAGAGAGGGGAGCAGAGGATGATAAAAAGCAGAGGTGTGTTTTGTACATGGAACAACTCCCCAGGAGGAAAGTGACGGTCGTGAACTACAAACACGTACTAACAAAATTAAAAATTGAGCTAAGTAAGAACAAAAACAAAAACAGAACAGCTGTGTGAGTCTGTCTTTAGTGGTTTCCCTTGAAAGCTGGCAGGGCCAGTGTTTTCATGCACTTCTCTCCTGGGTGCAGGCTTCTGTCTCCACTGTCCTAATCACCTTGCTTGAAAAAAGTAGTCCTTTTGGTGTCCACGGGTATTGCCTGGATCCCCTCACTCTCCAAGCACCGAAGTCTGGAGATGAGGCCCCATATATCTGCCCATATCCCCTCAGATTTGCTCCCCCTGCTGGCAACAGAGAGGGACCTCGAGTTGCTATTACATAAACACACAGGAGTTGCACCGCAGTCTGCAACCTCCATTGTACTGGGTGCTGCATGCTCAAAACTATGCACCCCAGAGAATCGCGCTTGCTATCACCATGGAGAGAGACGAGACCAGGAGTGAACCGATCATTACGACCACGGGTGGCCAGGTGATCTGCTCATGTCGCCCTGAGGAGTAGACACGGGAACAAGCCCGCACCAGAACCTTCTCATTTCCAACACTTTTGGTCTTCTCAATCATAGCTGCTCAGCTCAACTCGTGGCGTGGATGGGAGTAGAGATAGGACCTCTAACCATATCCAGCTTCCCATTTCAAACACCTTTAAAGGAGCCCCAAGAGTAGAGAAGGAAGCAAGTTAAAACGAAGATGCATCCTGTCCATAGACCAGCTCCCCACCACTTACGTGCTTGTGCTCGTCAGGTGCTGCAAACACTGACTAATAGAAAATAAATTTAAAAAGCAAAAGTAAGCACTTTTACATGCATAGATGCATGTGTGCGATGGCTGTGGGTGCTGATGTGTGCCCATGCGTGTCGTCTGTGCTTACCCGAAAAGGCAGGAGTACTGCAAGCTAGAACAGGGGAGCCCTGAAATCCGAGCAGGGGTCGGGCTGCCCTTCCCTTCCTTCCAGGGTGCCACCAGTCAGTGATTCGGGACCCGTGAAGAGGATGCAGCAGAGCGGGCCTCAGAGAGAGCGCGCTGGGCCTGTATCACGGGCTCCTCCTACCAGGTCCCTGCTCCAAGTCTGGGCACCAGTAGGTCCTGCAGGGGACTTCAGGTGTCCCCTGCTCTGTGGGGTCAGAGCCTAGGGTTCTGAGTACGGGTGAGCCGGCCTTGATCAGGACAAAGAGGACCACTGATTCGGACCAGGCTTGCTCGGCCAACTCTGCGCGGTCTCTGCCTACCCTGTATCTCCCTTCACTTGGTGCTTGGTGCTCAGTGCTGGCTGCTCCGTGCTCAGTGTCAGAGCCAGGGCGAATGCAGGCTCTGAGAACTTCCTGCATTCCTTCCTGGACTGCTCGAGCAGGGAGACATGGGCCTTGGATTCACTGGACAGCAGGCCTTGCTCCTCAAGGTAATGCACAGCGGCCGTGGGCGGGCTCAGCCCCAGGTGGACCTGGTAGCTGTAGGCCAAGCCGGAGCTGCTGGCAGTGGGGTGGATGCAATGTAGCAGCCGCGCATCCTTCCCACAGCAGAGATGCCACCAGGACGCTCTGGACAGTGACCCGTGGGAGGCGAGGTGTGCACTGGGTGCGGTTGGACCGAACACAGTGTACGCGGGATGCCTGCGTTCTTGGACTTTGTCTGCGGCCACCGCCCTGCACCCCCACAGGTGGCAGGATGAGAGTACGAACACGCATGCGCGCGCACACACACACACTCTAGTGTGCGTGGTCCTCAGCTCCAGTGTTTGGGCTGCGCTGGGTCCAAGACGGAATGGGAGGACTGGCCTGTGGGCTGAGCAGCTGCAGATGCCATAGCTTGCAAAAGGGGTATAGATCTTGCCACTCTTGGGGCTGCTACCCAACGCCCGCCTTGGACACTTGGTGCCCGGGACATTTGGTGCCCAGTCTCCTTAGCCGGTCACCTCTGCCAGCCCCTGGTGCAGAGGTCTGCCCTACTCAGGGAGGGAGTGAAGGATGTCACCCCCAACCTCCCGCGAAAGTCACCAGAAACCGGGGAGCCAGGCCCCTGCCGGTGGTGTTTGTACTTTCAGTGCAGCTGCCTAACAGCCTCCTAGTGTCTGTGTCTTTTCAGTCTTAAGCAAATAAAATGAATCAGTTCGTAACACAGTCCAAGGGTTCTTTATTACAGAACAATAAATAGTGCGTACACAGCATGGAGGAAGGCAGCACCAAAATTTTATGCAAAAACTGTTTTGGGAGAAGGTTTGGTTGAAGGACCAGATTTGCTGGCACTGTACTTTGGGGCCTAGCTCAGTAGAGAGTGAGGTTCGGTGGAGAGTGTTCGCCTGGTGTAATCTGGATCCTGGCCTCCATCCCAGCCATGAAAAATGGCCTAGGACGAATACTTAGCACTTAAATGTGGGTGCTTTAAGGCAATTGCATCTAAATGTATTACTCCTTATTGAGTAATATTGCAACAAAAATGAAATCTCAGAAATAACCCTCAGACCTACTTCCTGCCGGCAGGGAGTTTGCCAACAAGCACCCTATCCCTTGAACACGAGTGTCATATGTCAAATACACTGCTTTGCTCAGCATCCTTGGGTTCTTGGGAACTTCTTAGCAATTCCCTACTTTCCAGTGTGTTCCTCATCCTCAGAGGTGTCCGGCAGAGGGTAAATTGGCCTATGGAAGCCAGAAGGGGTGTGAAGTGGTATTTCCATGCAGACTTTGAGAAGAAAAGACAGAGTTGCAGCATGGGTACATTGGTTACCTGCTGCTTCAGTGGCAAATTATTATAGGCTGTGCTGAAACAGGAATTTGTGATGATCACAAACTGAATGAAGTCTTAAGGGGCAGAGCTCAAGGTATCCTCATCTATGCTTCTGCTGAAGGCTTAGAGAAGAACCCCTGTCCTTTCCTGTCTCAACCTCCAGAGGCTGCCTGTATTCCTTGGCTGGAGCCCCATTCCTCAATCTTCAAGGGCATCGCTTTGACCTCTACTTTTGCTGCCTCTTCTCTCCTCTGACCGCGGTAACTCCTGGAAGGACTCTGTGAACACACTGGGCCCATTAGGTGATCCAGAATCACCTTTCCATCTTAACACCCTGAAACATCTGGAAAGTGCCCCCTCCCCATCATGAAGTAACTCATTCACCATTTCCAGGCACCAGGAAATCTTGCCCATAATGCACAAAGAAGCAGAATCCAGTTGAGCAAGAGAAGCTATGCAGACTTTGGCTCAGAGCAATGAAGTTTTCCTCTAGGACTGTATCATGATAGGATTAAACTCCTAGAGAAATGAGAGTACATTACAATTTAGCCTTTTAGGGGAAAACGGTTCCTTGGGATGATGAACTAATTAGAATAGACACAGTTCTAGAGGCTTGGGAGCTGCCAGATTGTCTTCTAAAATATCCGTGCCCATTTTGCAAGCGAGGTAACATTGTTCCTGTTATGGTGCTAAGGTCACAGTCTGAGAAAAGCCACCGCTGGTCAGGAGCTGCGCAGATCCGCCTGGGCCCCAGCTGCCTGCTCTGGCTTTCTGGGTGCCCTGATGTCACACAGGTGAGCAGACCCTGGCTCTCATCTAGCTCTGGAAAGTAGAGTAGACATTTACCTAGGGGACAAGGGAAGCCTGAAGCCACCAGATGAAAAATAAATAGAATTAAAAAAGACCATTAAGTGCTCAGTAGGCCTGGAGGGCAGTTCCTAGCTCTGCATGCTAAAGACACCCACAGAGAGAGGCTGTAATGGGGTCTGCCTGCTGGTTTTACCCACCTGGGGTTGTTCACCTGCAGGACAGCTCTGATGTCCTGTTGTACCTTTCTGAAATACAGAAGCAAGTGCAGTGCGCCCTGCCCTCTATGAGATGCTCAGTCCCTGGTCTGGAGTCTTCAGCCTAGCATCCAAGACAGACTACTGTGAGGATAGCTAGAGAACATAGGCAGTGCTGGACCTGCCCGTGACCATAATCTTTGTTTTGAAAGGAGAAAGTATTTTTGCTGTCGCTTCTCCTCCATGCATAGTCCCAGAAGGTCTAGAGTGTAAAACAAGGGCAGTTAGCAGAACAATCTTTGGCGGAAAGTAGCAAATAAAGGTTG